TGTATTAGTAGCAGTAGTAGTATTGTATCTGAATTGTATTATTATTATTATTATTATTATTATTATTATTTGTCCCTATAAGTAATATTGTCGTTATTTTGGATTAACTCCCGATAAAAAGGTTGTTATATTGTTAGTATTGTAAGCAATGTTGGTTGGTATTGTAATTAGTCATTTGTAAGTAGTGATAGTGATGTAAGTAACTTTAGTTTTTTGTAAAATTGTACCTAAAGTGTAGTATTGCCCGGTAACCGGACTGCCTCGGTTACCGGGACGAATTTTGTTGACTGTTCATATGGGAAATTTCAGCCCGGTCTACCGGGATGAATTCCAAGAAACACAACCAAAATGGTGGAACATAACTGACTTGTACCGTTCACGGCTGTCGTAGCTTTGTTTACTCTTGTAACTTTACTAATAAAGCTACTTCGCATGCTCCTAAAACGGAGATAAATACAATTCAAAAATTATGTCATTTCGGCCTCTATGTTGCGAAAGCGAAGCTATTTTGTCTAAAAAGTTTCGCCCCGGTTACCCGGGCTGGAGTGTTCATATGGGGAAATTTTATCCCGGTTACCGAGATCTCGGTAACCGGGCCAGCCCGGCTTCTCATATAAACACATCGACATTTTTACGAAGAAAAGAGTCGCGAGACGAGATCTCGGAAACCGAACCAGTCCGGTTGACCGGGCTCATATGAAGAGGCCCTCACAACCGTGTAGGAGGTTTAGATACCCGGTCTTAATTAGCATAGATTTTAACGATTTTACTTCTCCATTTACTCTTTAGTTTTTGTTTCGATTGAGAAGATACATCAAACACTCGAGAATGTGTTTCATCGGCTATCCAAATACCTCGAATTTCGTCGAAACTACTCCGCTGCGCGTCGTATTTTCAACTCTCGTCTCTGTGTTTGGATATCCCGATAAAACACTGTCTCTCGTGTTTGATATATTACTTCAAAATGAGAAAGAATGAAAAAGTTGAACGATGGCAACATTTTGTTCAGTATTCAAATTATTATCATAAAAATTGGAACTATAAATGTGGCATTTAATTTACCCAACTAACTAATCAGCCTCGACTGATAGTGACATGTTTACCATGTATCTGAAAATTAACAAAACAAAATAATAAAACAAATGCAACAGAAGAGAACTTGGTAAATGAAAGTTCCATTTTATTTTGACACTAATACAACTATTAGAGATCTTTTACTCAGCATTTATGCCGGCACGTTTATTAGTGTTTTTTCATCGGTGGCGTAGGATNGAAAATTGAGTTCTGAAACTCGTCAATAATTCTTCAAGTCAAAACAAAGAAAACTAGGGCCTCTTCATATCAGCCCGGTAACCGGGCTGGCTCGGTTACCGGGACGAATTTTGTTGTCTGTTCATATGGGAAATTTCAGCCCGGTCTACCGGGATGAATTCTAAGAAACATAACCAAAATGGTGGAACATAAACTTGTATCGTTCACGGCTGTCGTAGCTTTGTTTACTCTTGTAACTGTACTAATAAAGCTACTTCGCATGCTCCTAAAACGGAAATACATACAATACAAAAATTATGCCATTTTGACCTCTATGTTGCGAAAGCGAAGCTATTTTGTCTAAAAAGTTTCGTCCCGGTTACCCGGGCTGGAGAGTTCATATGGGGAAATTTTTATCCCGGTTACCGAGATCTCGGTAACCGGGCCAGCCCGGCTTCTCATATGAACACATCGACATTTTTACGAAGAAAAGAGTGGCGAGACGAGATCTCGGAAACCGAGCCAGTCCGGTTGACCGAGCTCATATGAAGAGGCCCTCACAACCGTGTAGGAAGTTTAGATACCCGGTCTTAATTAGCAAAGATTTTAACGATTTTACTTCTCCGTTTACTCCTAAGTTTTTGTTTCGATTGAGAAGATACATCAAACACTCGAGAATGTGTTTCATCGGCTATCCAAATACCTAGAATTTCGTCGAAACTACTCCGCTGCGCGTCGTATTTTCAACTCTCTTCTCGGTGTTTGGATAAAACACTGTCTCTCGTGTTTGATATATTACTTCAAAATGAGAAAGAATGAAAAAGTTGAACGATGGCAACATTTTGTTCAATATTCAAATTATTATCATAAAAATTGGAACTATAAATGTGGCATTTAATTTACCCAACTAACTAATCAGCCTCGACTGATAGTGACATGTTTACCATGTATCTGAAAATTAACAAAACAAAATAATAAAACAAATGCAACAGAAGAGAACTTGGTAAATGAAAGTTCCATTTTATTTTGACACTAATACAACTATTAGAGATCTTTTACTCA